TGACACAAACACACACACACACACACACACACACACACACACACACACACCATCACCATCACCATCACCACCATCAGCAACTTCTCCCAGCCGCCCACTTCAAATGGTCTCTCAAATGCTTGTTGACTCAAGCCCAGGGCTCTTGCTCTCTATCAGGGACCCTTTTCTGTAGGTAAGAAAAGCGAGCTTGCCCACACCTTCCTTCCTTAGGCCCGGCCTCCACCGGGTGGCTCGGCTGCTTCCTTAAAGCTCACAGGTCTCAGGGTCAGTGGTGGACACTGCGTCCGTGCTCTGTGCAGAGCTGTCACCGCGTTCAGTGCTTCTTCCAGGCTGTCTCATCTCTTCACTCTGACCCTGTGGCCATCTCTTTGGGGAAACAGGCACGGAGTGGTTAAGCGTTTGGCTTAAGCACCCAAGTGGCTGAGGCAGGATTCGAACCCAGAGAGTGTATGCCCCCAGAGGTCACCCTCTGAAAGGACTGCCTCTGGCTGCTTGGAATGTCACCAGCGGCAGTGGTGACATGGGTCACAGGAAGTCCCAAAGAGGGGAAAACTCAAAATGTGTTTGAAAGGCATCGCCCGGTGCATTTGCAGCGAGCGAGTTTCCAGTCCCGGTCCTGATTTGCCAGAGCAAATCTCAGCCCGGTGAGCTCGCTCAGCGGCATTCAGGAGAAGGCGCTGACCAAGCACAGGCAGCAGCAAGGGCTGCCAATCGCTGTCGAGGAGCCTGGGCCCTCCCCAAGGGGACAAGAGGAGAGCCCAGCTCCCTGAGCGATCCCCAGAGGCCTGAAACGCGAAACGGGAATGCTGCTAAGTCTAGAGAATAGAAGGGTGTGGAGGGAAATGGCGTCCTGCCCCCTTCAAAAAACCAAGACTACACCCCACGGGCCCTGCTAAGTGCCCCGCCCGGCTGGGCTCTGAGGACTTGGACATAAAGAGGTTTGGTTCCTCACTTCAGGGAGAGCCAGGAAAGCCCTTTCCCCAACCCCCTCCCCCCAACCCCACCCCCACCTGCACCTGGGACTCAAGTCACCAGAGAAATAAGGGAGGGGTGATGGGTACCATTAACTGAACATCCAGGAGGAAACGTCTCCGCTTTCTGCCCCGACTCCTTCTTCCATCCCCCCTCCAACCACCACTACCCGGCAGAGTCCTCTGGCCAGTGGTTTCCAGAGAGTTATAGGGGAGGCTCTCAGTGTGCTGGGGGGTGGGGCGTAGAAGAAAATGAGTTGCCCCCACAAGTGGCCAGGTGTCTCCCTCGGACATCCTGTTGAGTAACATGGGGGCTCTGGGGCTTGTTCTGGAGGGGCTGGGGAAAGGGTGGGGGTGGAAGTGTGGGGTGATGAAGTGAAAGGAGCCCTGACACTGGGTCTGATACATCTTCAAGGTCCTGGCTTGGAGGGCTGAGGGGTGGGACAGGGTGGGCCGGGCATGGTGAAAAGCTGCCTGCCTCTTAAAGGGATCCTGTCACCCACCACCTGCTCCCTCATCTCCCCCCCCCCATTGTTCAGCTCTGTGAACCCTTCCTCTGGGCCACTCCCCAGCACCCCACGAGGGAGTGTACCACCGAGGTGCTGGGCTACAAATGGTTGGCTTCTGCCGCCTGTGGAGGCCCTGGCTCTGAGCTTGCTCGGGAGACACAGAGGAGTGGAGGCATGATGGAGAAGCCTCCAGTTGCATGGCCTGGGGAGGGGGAGGCACAGGCACCAAGCCAGCCCGCTGGAGCTGAGGGCTGGGACAGGCCTCTGGCAGGAGATGTTCAGTGGCCTGTGTCTCTCTTGCATCTGAGCATGCACAGGAAACTCAAGAGAAACCGTGACCATGAGCCAGTGAGGCCCAGCCAGGTGGACAGATTGACAGGGTCCCTTTAAGTAGAAGCCCTGCAGCCAGGTCGGCCAGTTGGTCAGTCGGTGGGTGCACAACTCCTTGGAATTAACCCGAGTGTTTCTCTGGTTTGCACATGTTGCCTCTGCCCTGCACGCTGCCTTTCTTCCTCTCCCTTCCCTCCTTTCCAGCCGGCTGGCGGACCGGGCCAGCTGACCCCTTTGTTTCAGGTCCCTCTGGAGATGAAAGGATTCCAGCGAGCCCTCTTTTCGGAAGCACCGAGACACACACACCCCCTTTCCTCTCTGTCCTCCTGTCCCCAAACCAAAGAACGTTTTGTGAGCACAGTCTCTAGGCTAGCTGCTGGGCCACCGTGGATTCTGCTCAGGTTCCTGCGCCTCTCCCTTCTCTCCCCGTCTCTCCCGAAACAGCTCTGCCCACACCGATGGCACTCGTCTCTAGAGAGAGCTCCCCCGTGGTCCACAAGCGCCTAATGTGAAGTACACATGGATGTGTGGCCGTGGAGCTGGGGAGGCCCTTCATTCTGGGCAAAGTCACTGCTCGCCATTTGCATCCCTGTGAATGGGAGATGGGGGCCTGGGAGAAAGGATGGTGTTTTCTGCTCGTACCATGTGACTGCGATGGGAGGGAGACGTCTGTCTGTCTGTCTGTCTCAGAGGCGCTGGGATAGCCCAGGAAACACTCTGGGGGCCAACAGGAGAGACATGGCATTCAGCTGACCCATGCCCTCTGCTTCCCCGGCCTGGCCAGCCACAGTCTGCACCATGGCGTCTGGGTTTTTTTTGGCAGAAATGCCTGGGAACTGAGAGGCCCCTTCCCCCATGACCTGACCTCCCAGACTAAGAATAACAGCCCCAGGACAGTGTGTCTTGCTGTCCCACTGGAAAGAGGACCTGGTAGGGACGTGGGGCAGTGAGAAGGCAGGGCAGAGCCGGAACGAAATGGATGAACACAGAGCTTGGCTCTTGGGAGTCAAAACAAACCAACAAGCCACAGCAGGCAACCATCACGAGAGCTGGGAGACACGCAGAGACCTCTCCGTGCTTTTGAAACTTGCTACTCTCTAGACTTCCTCTCCTGGAAGCCCAGGCCATGCCTCTGAGAGAAGGGATGGGCCAGCTCAGGCTTTGCAGAATCACAAACTCCCCGCCAGCGAGTCAATGCCCACTGGTAGTGACCCTATAGGACAGGGCACAACTGCCCCTGTGAGTTTCTGAGACCGAAACTCTCCCTGGAGTAAAGGCCCCCCGTCTTTCTCCCACGGAGCAGCTGGTGGTTGCCTGGCAGCAAGCAGCCCAGTGTGTAACCACCCTACCCCCAGGCAGCATCGTCCTGGATGACAAGGGATCCTGTGGGAGAGCAGGCTAGTGTCTTAGTACTAAGTCCTTACCATCCCGCCCATGAGAAACACAACTGCCTGGAGTTTCCTGAACTGGGAGTATGTCTCCCCGGTGGTCACGGAACAGCAGCTTGCTCTTGGCTCCCATACCCTCCCTAGAGGCAAATGGTACAGACCCTAGAAACCACTCAGCTCTTTACGAAAAAGCTCCCCGCCCAGGGCTCCAGGCTCCTCCAGGCATTGGGGGACGGCCCATCCTTTGGTGGACCAGTTGTCCACGCGCCTCAAAATATGTTTCAAGATCAGTGATGTCTTGCCTTTTCAAAACCGTGGCTGGAGGCCCATGTGGACACTGCTCTCCCATTTCTGTTGTTGTCTCCCCTCCGCGACACCCGCCTTCCTCATTTCCTGCCTAGGAAGGCTGTGTCCGCACCCTTCTACCGAGCAAAGTGGTTCCGGGGAAGCACCCAGAACCCGACTCCCTTGCGAGGCGGAGGTGATTGGTTTGTGTTTCAGCAGGAGGCTGTATCCGCAGGCCATGCAGGGCCCTGTGCTGCAGCACCACCCCTGCACCTGGCCTTGACTCAGGCTCCTTTCAGTTACTAAAAGCCTTGGCCTGAGCAGAGCTGCCCCCCACCCCCACCCCTGCCTGGAGCTCCCCCGTTATGCCCAGAACAGCAACAAGAGTCATTCTGCTTCAATCTGCAGAGAGAAAGACAGAGCCCCACTTGGTGATTATTTGCTCCTCTTGTTACTTCTGACCTTGGCCTGCGCCCTGACGACTGGCCACCTGCTGGCCACACCGACAGTGTCTTTTTGTTCCCAGTAGCAACCCAGAGGACACCACCCCGGTACCTTTCCAAGAGGTCCCCCGCTGTCTTTGTGCTCCCTTCCTCCAGATGGGCCCTTCTGATGAAAAAGAAGGGGGTGTAGGATGCTGAGCGGGGACCCCAAAGAGAGCTAGCCCTGGACTGCTCTGACTCACACTCCCCTGCCCTCACGCCCCGTGGGGTGTGGAAAGGGGCCCCAGGAAGGAGTGGGGCGTGAGGTAGGACAGATCAGCAGGATGGGGACCACAGAGCAGGCAGGCGGGTTGGACTAGATGCCTCCCTGCCTCCCCCTCCCCTGCGGGGCTCGGGCCACAGTGTGGGCGCTCGGACTCCAGCAGCAGCAGCAGCAGCGCAGCGGCCGCCGGACAGTGATTCTGATGGTGATGTTGCTCTGTTCCTGGTCTCTCTAACACTCCTTTTCAATCCCCGTCCTGCCTGCCCCTCCCTCTATGTAGGGTTACTTTAGTGATCCCTGGAATGTTTTTGACTTCCTCATCGTAATTGGCAGCATAATTGACGTCATTCTCAGTGAGACTAATGTGAGTATTACTCTGCCCTTCCCCAGGAAACCTCCCCCCTCCCTCCTCTGCCTCTGTTTCCTTCCCTGGCTCTCGCTCCGCTGCTCGCTCTTTCTCTCTCTTTCGCCTCCTTTTCGTGTTTTGGTTGGTTTTTTTCATTTCCTGGTTTTTCACCCCCCTCGCCCTCCAGTCATGCTTTTCCCTGAGCCGCCGTCTCCTGTGGGGGAAAGAGCGGGAGCCGCTCCCCTCATTCTGCCCAGCTGCGCCCTGCCGTGCTGGCCCCAGGCAAGCTGGAGAAGCCCGAGGGAGCAGGTGGTGGAAGGCGCCGCCCGGCCCTCCCAGGGCAGCCGCAGCCATGCGTAACCTTTGAACTAACCCAGCTTTTGCCAGGCTTCTCCACCCGAGAACACCAGGTTACCCAGGTGGGAGCCGCCAGAGCTGTAGAGTGGTAAGAGAGTTGTTGACGATGCCCACGTAACCTCTTTCTTTTCTCATTTTTTTTCTCTTCTCTCCCTTCTTTCATGCTTTTTTTATTTTATTTTTTCATTTTCTCCTCTTCCGTTTTGTTTTGTTTTGTTCCTCCTCTGTTGTTGGTTTTTTGTTTTTTTTCTCTCTCTCTCCCCTCTCTCTCTTCTCCTCGGCTTCTCTGCCCCATGCAGCACTATTTCTGTGATGCATGGAATACGTTTGACGCCTTGATTGTTGTGGGTAGCATTGTTGATATAGCAATCACCGAGGTAAACGTAAGTACATGGCGTCTGTCCCTGACTGTCCTGCCTGCTCTCGCACTCATTCGTCCTGCCCCGGTTTATTTGGTAGTCTGTTTTTATTTTCTCCTCCATACACCTTTATTTTGATTTTGTTTTTATTGATTTATTTAGTTGGTTGGTTGGTTGGGATCAGTTCAGAGAATTTCTTTCTTGTTGCCTCATTTAGAAAAGTTTTGATTTTTTTTGGTTTTGGTTTTGATTTGAGTTCTGTTTTGTTCCACTTTCAGAACAAGCTAGGATTTCCTTTTCCTTTCCCATTTTGATTGCTGCATCCTTCTCTCTCTCCCCCTATAACCAGCCTGGCATGACTCACACTGTATAGGAGGCTGCAGCTAAGGGAATCGTGGAGTGAGAGAAAGTGGGATATGGACTGCTTCTGGGCACCTGCTGAGGCAGGGACCCGGAACTTCTTCTCACCCTCTACCTTTACTCCCAACCTCGGGCTCTCCCCCTCTTGCCTGTGCATTCACACAGCATCTTGAAACACAGCTCTCTAGTAGAATGGCACACCTGGAGTTAAGGCTACGACTTTGCCTGTATTGTCAGCCTTGGCCGACCCTCACCTAAGTACGACCCATGAGATTCACACTGAATCAGCTGGATCTCAATTTAACACTAGCTGCCTATGCAGTCTGCCTGGCCTCCTATAGGTTCACTTAGAGAGGAGAGTGGGTCCCCTGGTGTTCGTTGGACTCTTTCTTGCACCCTTTGCCTGGGGCTCTTCTCAGTGGACCTTTCTTCCTGGTGGCTATGGAAACTACTCTGTACAAGTGCCTCATCCAACAGGAATTCACCACAGACACTTGCACCTGCCTAACTCTCCTGCCTTCCCCAAAGCCCTCCCAGTGCTGCCCTGGCTCCCTGGCCTCAGAAGACACTCTGGTCCCTACACTCCTGCTGGGTTCTCTTCCCAAGAGTTGCTTCCTCCTATACAGTTTCTACCAGTTTCTGCACACGTCTTTTTGTTACTTCGCATGTTTAAATCTTCTCTCTTTATCCATAGGCAAGCCCTCTTGCAGTTAGTCTTTAACATGTGTTGTTTTATTTTTAGCTTTTTTTTTTTTTGGTCATTGTTTTTCTTAATTAAGAGACTTGGTAATGTTTGCACAAACCTTTGATGCACTGAACCTTTGAATAACAGCACGGAGCAGATGCTTTAGAGTTTAGATCTAAGCTATTTGAAACTACCACTGACCACCGCCATCTCCCCCATGTGCCCACCCCTGCACTCCCTCTTCTGCTCCCAGCCAGTTGAAATGAGCCATTCTCCTATCTGCCTGACTCCCCCTGATTAGAAGCCCTGCCCCTAGCTCTTCTTCCAGCAGAGGAGCTTTGGACAGGCTGCATCTCCCCTCCCTGCTCTTCCTGTAGCTCCAGATTCTAATGTCCCTCTGTCTCCAAGATCTCTAGGTTGTCTTTGTCGTGTGTGCGTGTGTGTGTGCGCGTGCGTGCAAGTGGACTTCCCCTTGATAACAGAAAGACCTCAGATCTCAGAAGGCCCATTTTCCTACTCATGCACTACACCACTCCCACCGCCTCGACCAGTGCTGGCCAGTGCTGCCAGTGTTGCAGGCTGCAGGATCCCCGAGTTGTACCCCACATTGTTATCTGAGCTTGTGGGTCACACACCCATGTCTACCGAGCAGAGCCGCTGTGCTCAGAGTCGGAGCATCTGCAAAGGGAGCCTGGTGGGCCCTGCCTTCAGAGGGTGTGGCCTCGGGGACAGCCAGCCCCGGAGGCTGACGGCCCGGGGGAAGGGAGACAGGAGACAGCAGCACGCTGTGCCCCTGAGCACAGAGAGAGAGGACCCACCACAGACCCAGGGGTGCCATGGGTAAGGCCTGTATCCTCACCCATCCTGCCCAGCCTGTCGTATTTTTACAGGAAAAACAAAACAAATGCTTTTCTGAGATACAGCATTTCTGTAATTTAAAAAAAAGAGGGGGGGCTCTGTTGTTCACGAGGGTCGAGCAGGACCAGAAAGGAACATGGGAAGCTTCTTGGCAGAGCCTCACACGGGTGTGATGGTTCTGTTGGCCGTTTTCTCTTGGTGTGGACAGTTCAGAACGGAGTCGCTCGCCATGAGGAGAGCAGTTCAAGACCACCAGCCCCTCTCCAAGAGAAAGACGAGGCTCCCATAAAGAGTTACAGTCTCAGAAACCCACAGGGCCAGTTCCGTTCCACTCGGACGTTGGAATCAGCTCCGGGGCCGTGGGGTTTGGTGGTGGTGGTGATTGGTTCAGCTCTTGGTGTGTTGGGGTTTGGGGCTTCAACTCTTATGAGTTCCACAGGAAAGAACGCCCACCCCATTTACTGGTGGCAGAAGTGAGGGTGGAGAGACTTGCCCAGCCCCATAGAGGGGCTCCAGGCTCCTTGGATCCACTTACACAGCCCACCCGGCCCTCTCCCATCCACTCCCAGTGGTCAGGATCGGCCGGATCCCACTGTGCTCTATCTGTATTTTAAATCACCATCAAGCTGTTGCTGTGGCTTTTAAAACAAAACCCGTTCCTCAGTCAGCCCACCTCCTGAAGCGCCACCCCCCCCTCTTTGTCCTCCCAGGCCGCCTCAACCCACTCTGAGGCCCATGTCAGCCCTCCAGAGAGGACCCATGGGTCAAGCCCGGTATGGACTGAGGAGTCTGAGCGTTAGAAGCAGTGTTGTCTGAGGATACGATCGGGCAGTGTATTTGGTCAGGAGTCAGAGCACCTGTCGGGTAACTCAGTGTTCATATCTGGACGGCTTTCTCCTCTCTCTCACACAGTGAGTGGCTTCCAACCATAAAGAGCAGACAGACCTCGCCTCCCCTCAGGCAGGAGAGCAGAATGGAAGAATAAAGAAGGGCTGGATTTGAAGTCAAAATACTGGGAGGTGGTTGAATCCTGCTGCTGCCTCTTCCGATAGCTATTCACCAACCTGTCCCCAGAGGCACTCTGGCGACTTCTCTCTCGTTGGGCAAAGGGAGTGGGTTTGTGAGCTCAAATAGCAGTATTTATCTTAAAACTCTTTGTAGACGCCAAAGCCCTATTGGCTAGGAGCGGCCATTGTCACCCAAGCAGACGGCGTTCTTTCCAAAACCATCTGCTGGGAGAACTAAGAGGAACTGGCCTCTACCCAAGGCCATCCCGGTAATCTAATGATGGCCGCCCACGGGCAGTGTCAGAGCCCCTGTTGCCTGGACAGCGTCATTTTCTTGGAGACAGGCCCCAGGTACAGCCAGATCAAAGCAAACGCAAGCTTACTGACTGTTGCCCTTACCATTGAAGCCTAGATACACCAGTTTCAAGGGCACAGTTCTAGCAGAACCTTACTCCCAGAAAACCAGCAACAACAAACACTTGCCATTGAGTCGATGCCAACTCGTAGCACCCCCATAGGACAGGGTAGAACTGCCCCTGTGAGTTTCCAAGTCTGTGACTCCTTATGGGAGTAAAAAGCCTGTTTCTCCCAAAGAACAGCTGGTGGTTTCAATCCACCAACCTTGTGGATCCCAGCCCAATGTTTAACCACTAAGTCACCACAGCTCCTGCAGCCAGATTATGGCCAATATAATGGATTGCAGTCTTCAGACCACTCCTTCCTCTCATCTGGCCCTTCCTTCAGGTGCTGCAGCTTTGGGTCTAGCCAGTCTATGATTCAAGGGGTTTTATAGATCTAGGATTTTCTTTCCATTCCTGTGGCATCGTTTAGAAAGTCCTGCCTCCCTGGCTGATGCTCCGGGCCCTCCCACATTCTTCTGGTTCCAGTGTCACCAGATGGCCCCTCTTCCCAGACATACATTGAACTGGGAGGACTCGTCTAACCCCAGAGGAATCCGCAAGGGCTTTTCACCTGTAATGCGTGATGATAAGGGTCACTTCTGGTTACCCTGGCCCAATGCCTCATTCATCCCAGCTATCAGAATGACAACATTGCCCACTGCCAAACCCACTGCCCTCCATCTTCCCCTCTGGGTTTCCTGTCTTTCCTTCCTGCCTTTACCAAGGTCTGTGCCCCACCCCACCAGCAGGAAGCCTCCCTCCATCATTCCCTGCATGCACTTCATAGCCAGGCTTTCTCCCCGCGCGCGCGGGCATTGTCTTAGGCTCGTTAGTGAGACAACAGATTCATCCCCCTACCTCCTGAACAAGTCTGTTGGAGAGCAAAGTCATTCTAACGGTCAACAGTGCTCCGACTACAGTCCGCCGGGCCACTGGACAGTATGTGGGAGGGGGGGGTCACTGATTTGGGGAAACTGACTTGGGGGGATCAGAGCCATGGGGGAGCTAGGAAGGCAGGTGCTATTTTCAGTAAGATGGGCTTTATTGGGGAGAAGACATTTCAACAAGGGTGTGAAATGGTGAAGAGCCATCCGTGCACATATCTGGAGAAAGGACTTTGAGGGCAAAAGGAGCAGCCAGGGTGGCTGGTGCAGGCTGAGCCAGGGAGAGGACCGGGCTAAGGGGTCGCGGGAGGTGGGGGTGGGGAGGGTGCAGTCTGACTTTTGCTGAGAGAGAGAGGTGGCCTGGCGTGGTTTTGAACAGTGGGTGTGAAATGATCTAACAAACATTTCAAAAGGACCTCGTGGGCAGGTCTGTTGAGCCTAGAAAGCGAATGCAGCATTCCAGGCAGGGAGTTTAAAAGGAAATCCTTGCAATAGATGCAGTGAAACACGGCCCAAGTCCGTCCGGAAGTTGAACTCACGGTATTTCCGGACACACTGAATGTAAGTGGAAGGGACAGAGGAGTCCGGGCTGGCTGTGAGGTTCTGGCCAAAGCAGTAGAGGGATGGAGCGGGTAGCACCAGAGCCAGGCTGGAGGTGAGGCGTGTTGGCATGAGACTGGCCCAGAGCTCTGTGTCAACTAGACGTCTGAGTGCAGATGCCAGGAAGACAGTGCGATACAGAAGGTGGGGTGTGCAGCGATCGGCATCTAGATCAATTCAAAGCCTGGCCCTGGAAGAAATGACCACGGGCGGGGGCAGGAGTCAGAAG